TTCAGTGTAACTTTAATATTGATTCCCTTTTTTATTATACCGGGTGGCCCAAAAAAAGTACTCCGGTTTGATTCGAAATAACTTCTAAACAAGTAAAGCTTTTAAAGAGAAATAACTTGCATCAAATAGAGGAAGGACTAACTTAGATTTTGATATATTACAGTTGTATTTCACTTAAAAATTCACGGAGATATTAATGTTTAAAATCGGGAGCATATTTCTTGATGTGTCTGCAATATGCCAAAAACAGCGTATCAAATATTAATCAAGATTTACCCGACTGAAACATGCACTATTACCTGTAACTAAATGACACTTGACAAATTGTTTATTATGAAACAAAGTATTATTATCTACAAAATACAAGCAAGATTTATGCGTCCGAAATCCGCGTGTGTTCCTAGCACGAATACGTTTCCTTATTTCATGAGACCACTGCATCGCGAAGGATCGTCATGGATCGTTCGTAGTTCTGAATTAGGGCACGCTGTCACATTGGAATTGTGAATTTTCTCACTTCACATTGAATGAATTTTGTAACTTCTGCAACGTTCTGAAATCTTGTTAAGAACACCCAAACTCTTTTGCCTTTCTTAATCTTGGCAAGTTCAGAATAAACTGAGAATGAAACACAATCAAACCATACAACTCCATAAGTAAAGACATAACAAGCAACTCCCCAGAGACATCCAACATTTTTGGAACAAAACGTAACAAAATAGTATCTTTGATACTGTGATGTGTATTTGCAAAAAGCAATATTATTTCCTCCATTAAAGAACAATATTCATCCTGCTCTAACCGAGAAATAATCAACTTTGTTTTGAACCCATGAAAAACATAAAAAATAGGTTATTTAAGAAAAATTGAAGCGCCTGCCTTGCATGGTCTTTCATGTACCTTAAGTTTGCAAAGACCTATTAAATACTTACATAATTTCGAACGTCCATATTTCAGGAAACAATGAGTTAAGACTTACATGTAAGATGTCTAAATCTACGCCATATCCCTTACAAACCCTAACGACAATTCGCTGAAATACAAGTTACCCTGATATGTCATTAAGCAAACAAACGCTGGAGTTAAAATTTGATACGCCGATTTTCGCTAATTTTAGACACATCCCAAAATATGCTCCCGATTTTGAACATTAATATCTCCGTGAATTTTTAAGTAAAATGCAACTGTAATATATCAAAATCTAAGTTAGTCCTTCCTCTATTTAATGCAAGTTACTTCTGTTTGATAGCTTTACTTGTTTAGAAGTTATTACAAATCAAACCGGAGTACTTTTTTTTGGGCCACCCGGTATTAAATTTTTTAAATAAAAAATAAAGCAAAGACCAAAGTTATTTGCAAGCGAGAATTTGAAATCATTTTCTTGCAAACTCAAAGTGTATCGATAAAGCCATTTAATAGTTAAAGGCAGTTTAGTTTTATAAAGAACACTTTAAAACGTTTTGTGAATTGTTTGTGGTTGAATTTTACCTTAAATTGAAGCTTATATTACGTATAATTACATACCTAACATATATATGTTGGGAAATTGATAATTTTGTAATTAAAAGTGATATTTTTAGGCGATTTTCATTTAATAATAATAATAATATTTAATATTTATATTGCGCAAATTAACATGTTATAGTATATGATCAAATGCGCATCACAAAACATAATTACACTAAAATTATTCTATGCTGAATGGTTACTAACTAAAAATATAAAGAAGATTATATTGATTATATGTTACATGAAGTATTTACATTAAAGGCTTCTTCAAAATAATAAGTCTTAACTAATTTCTTGAAAATACTAAAGTTATGCAGATTTCTAATACACATAGGTAATTCATTCTAGATTTTTGGAGCGGAGGTTACAAATGCTCTGTCACCGAGTGTTTTCTTTGTTTTTGTACTGTAGTCTTCAAGCAGTGTGCCTTCGTTAGATATTAGACTATAGCACGATGTCTTTCTTACTTTTAAAAGATCGACAAGATAGAGAGGTGCCTACTGATGGATACATTTAAAAGCAAGCATGGCAATTTTGAACTTGATCCTTAATCGAACGGGAAGCCAGTGTAGTTTGATGAGAGTCGGAGTGATGTGATCATGTTTAGGGATAGAACAGATAAGACGTGCTGCTGTATTTTGTAGCCGTTGTAGTTTAGACAGATGTACATCTGTGACACCAAATAGAAGACTGTTACAGTAGTCTATCCGCCTTGACATTATTAGTGCTTGGACCACAGACTTTCTATCTTTATAGCTTAAAAACTTTCGAATACGTCTAATGTTATGAAGATGATATACTACGGAACAAAAGCTTGTAAGAATATTCTTAAAAAATTATCGTGTTACCATGACAACTACTCTGGATACTTCCTGTTCGGAAAATACAACGGTTTTGTCAGCAAGGCGAGGGTTTCTGCATGCATGTATTTTCTAGTAATAGTCATACAGTACAGTTAATTTTATTTTGAGCCTGACTGCAAATTATTTGCGTTTTAATAAGTCGGGTCCCTGATTTATACTCGTCTCTTTCGCGTAAAACCCACTTTAAAATTGCATAAACATAAAACAGTTTACAATACAAATAACCTGGTGACCACTCAGATCTCTCCTTAAACGATGCGGCTATCCGACATCGACATATACAAAAAAGGCCGTGCCGAAACTATAGTCGCAGTCCCAAACTACACTGCAGACTGAATATAAAAGATTGCATTAAACTTCATTGCTATTATTTGAACCAACTGTGGAGTTAAATTTTTGAAGAATGGAACAGAATAACTGCTTCTAATAAACAATGTACATGCACCATCGACTGAGCAACCAATCAGTTTAGTTAATTATAGCTTGCATTATCTTGATGCATGTTTAGACAAATGAAATATACTTATGTGATATAAGTCATATAAATGAGCTGTGAAAGACACTGTGCCATGAATAACCATCTATTTACATGGTACTTCATATAAACACAAGCACACAGACGCCCAACGGGAGTCCATTATGTACTTCGTTATTTATTTTTGTGTTTTGTTTCAGGCGCTGCTTGTTTCTTTGTGAAACATGTACAGACAGGGATGTGTATTAATGACACAAGATTACTACAGGCGGACTATTCTTGGGGAAACTTAACTTTTGTGGAACTTTCCAACAACTGTCTGTATCCAGCTGCTCAGTTTCGGTTTCTTGATAATAGTGCCATGTTCAATTTGAAAAGAAAGGGATGTTTCGAAGGAACACTACGTGGCGTTGGTATTGGTTTTAATCTTCCTATGTTGTATTTGCTCCTTGCTAGAAAGCCTTCAGATAATTGTCGTGATCGGGACCATGCTATAACCCAGACATCTTGGGAAGGTTTACTTGTATATTATATACCTGATAAACGGACGCGGTGTGCAGTGCCTAAAACAGCTGATGCACTCGCAAATGCAGGAATAGATCCCTACATCAGATTGACGACTAATTGTAACGATGCGGAGGATAAACGTTTTAATTTTGGTAAGTTGTTTTTATTTGTATGCAGTCAATTTGTTTTATGTCTTTGCATATAAGAAGTTCTTATTTGTGGTTTTGCAATCTGCATTTCATATTTACTTAAATTTCTCACTCACCATTGCCGCTAAGCTAGGATAGAGGCTAGACGTAAACTACTTGTATTAAGACTTAGCTGTATATAGTAAAAGCTTTATACCTTCTTTATACATATAAGAATGATTCAGTTACCTCGGGAACTGCTGACGTCTTAATTTTGTCCAGAAAAGCAAAACCTGTATATATTTTATGTCATCGATGAAGAAAATAAAACGTAGCGCTGAAGACAGAGCCTTGTTGAAACCGCATATAATTAGATTTACCTTATTAAGCAAATCACGAGCAAGACTCTATAGTTGTTCCAAACATTTCATATAATGCTAAATTTCTGTAAGAATATCGTGTCCAGCAATGATGTTTTGCATTTTGTATACATCTCTATATGCCGTTCAACAAAATATCTTGTCTTAGTTGATATTGTCATTTAGTGCTCGTCATTTCTAAATTTTTGTTCTGTTCCAGGTTCAGTGACGTGCCATGGGAATATGGTAAAGAATGCCAACTGTCCTAAAGATCAGTACCTGGTGGTCAAGACTGCATCTTACCGTGGATTGTCTGCCACAAAGACATGTGGTTTGAGTAATGATTATAGTTGTGAAGTTGATGTAACATGCATGTCTTGTTAAAAAACAATGTGATGGTCAACATGAGTGTAATGTAACTGTGAATGACAGCTTGTACTCTGGTGATCTATGTCCTGGATTGACAAATTATCTTTACTTTGAATATCAATGTATTGATACTCCAACACCTTCTAAAGAAATGTGTGGTATGTATGGCTAATGACATTAGGAAGGTTCAGATTTGACTTCCACTACCGTTACTGTTACCTGTCAATGTAATTGGAAGCGAACTTTCTCTAAGCCTCATTTAAATGTAATAATTTTCTTTTTAGTAACGACCAGAAGGATTTTTTATAGCAAATTTAATAAATTGTAACAACTCCGAAACGTTGTTACAATTTATTAAATTTGTTATAAAAAAGCCTTCTGGTCGTTACTAAAAAGAAAATTGTTACCTGTCAGTGTTTTAATACGCATTTGGTTGGTCACATCAACACCGGATCTTTGTTTGATTGCCTTTGACAACCAAGTACAACCGGTATTAAGCCAAGTATTAATTTGCTTATATACACCAAGAATAACTCTAAGCGATTGTTCAAATGGGCCGGGCTAGCCGGGATGAATCGTGTAGGAGAATTTTTTTTCTGAACATAAAAGATATTTTATAATAACTTTATACTGTTATTGGAACACCGTTATTAGAGCTGCATGCATGCATGATAGCTCTACACTATCAATGATAAATATACAATTATATTCATTGATTGTTATCTTTCCAAAATACCTAGAGCAATTATAGAAACCTGTCTTACCCTTCACATTTCGTTTTGTGTTTGTAGTGGATGGCGTGTCTTTGAAGTATTCAACTCTACCAAACGAAGGTGTTGTACAGATATTGACCAAAAATAGCGGGAACAAGACTGTTTGTTGGCAAAGTTTAACGAACGAGGCCGCGAATATTTTTTGTCGTCAATTGGGTTACACGAGAATGGCGTCTAATGTTAGTAAAGTCCCTCCATCAAACCAAGATGCAATATTTTCTGGAAGTATAGAGTGCAATGGTGGAAAGCAAAACTTATCTCAATATTCCTTTACTGTTTCTAACGAAAGTTGTTCTGAGATTTCTTACATAAAATGTAAGTTTTACACAAAAGAATACACGAACGGAATAAAGCAGAGAAGATAAACAACGTATTAACATTTATTTCTTATATTTTAGGTTTTATTTGCGACAGATCGACCTTTGTTAGAAGATAAACAAAGATTTCCAGATTCGTCAATCACTGCCTCAGCTTCTTCAAAAAGTCAAAGTCCTTTTGATGCAAGAATATCTAGTGGCAGTTCTTGGTGTGCTCCTCTCTCAGATGGCAAACATTATCTTCAAGTGGACTTTGGAAGACGTTATGTGATATATAATCTCGCAACATTTGGTGACACTACTAGCCCAAAATGGGTGACCACATAGAATTTGAATTACACTGTTGATGAGATAAACAGGAAATCAGTTTGGGTAATTGCTATTTACATTATTTTCAGGCTGATATACATTTTATAATATATTTTGTGATGCGACGAAAACGGTGTAACTTAAAAAATAGTCATATTTCTTCACTGCACGCATTTATTAAACCCGTTATTTTACTGTTGTCTTTAGATCTCGGGAAACAAAAATGCTTACAATGATGCAGGTATTCGATATTTCCCTGGAGGGATAACAACAACAGCTTTACGGTTTATTCCATTAACATACGTTGGTCAACCGTGTATGAGAATCGAAATCTGTGGTGCTAGTAAGTTACATTAATTTTTCCAATAAAGACATGATAAAGAGTTCATAAGATAAATTAATAATACTGATGGTATTTTATATAAAAATAAAAGTTCTTTGATTTCCTTCTTTCTAGCTCTGTTATCAGATAGACCTACCAACCTCATGGTCACTAACATCAAGTCAAGAAGTGCTGAAATATCTTGGTTAGATTCTGAGAACACAGGAGATGGAGATCTTACAGGATTTTGGATTAAACTAAAGAAAGAGAACTCTGTCATCCAGAATATTACCAAAGATAAACACAATGAATACAATTTAGATAATCTCACTCCACACACTACATACAAAATATCAGTCGCTGTTGGAAATAAAAATGGTTTTGGTGAAGAGACAATTACTTCGTTCAAAACATCTGAAGAAGGTGAAATGAAATAGATAAAAAATAGATAAAAGCGTAGACAATTCATATAATTATTTGTCAATCTGCAAGGTGTAAAGCTTTCATTCATTTCTTACAAAATCAGCAGTTGCTTTTGCACTTTTAGATATAGGTTGACAATCTGTTCCTTATTTAATGGTTTGAAACTGTAACAGAATATTCGTGATTATTACAGATCATGAAGGGATCATCAATATCATTTAAGAAAGTTTAGTCTGATGTTCGTTTCATTTTTTTAATTTTATCCAACTATTCTTAAACCTTTCTATCTGTAAATGTTAGTCAGCGTAGATGGTTCTCCTAGGGAAGTTACCATGTTGGTTATTTGGAATTGCAACAACTCTCGCACACAATGGTGATATTATCGCACATCATGGCTAAGATTCAGCAGAATTGTCATGCATTATTACTAACAAATCCCCCACTCCATACACCTCTAACTAATATATTTTATTTTATAAGAAACATGCAACTTACCATATCAAGTCATCTGACCTTTAGCTCCAGTAGGTCCTCCACTGAATGTCAAAGTGACTGCAGAAAGCTCATCATCATTATCTGTCACGTGGGAACCTCCTGAAAAAAGACAAAAGAAATGGCATTATCGTCAATTATACTGTGTGTATCTCACATGAAGAAAGTAAACTTTGCTTTAAATATATACTACAAACGAAAAGATGATAGTCATCGACAATTTGATTGACTCGACAAAATATTATGTTCGTGTTCTTGCAAGTACTAAAGTTGGTTCCGGAAACTACAGTGAAAATAAAGAGAAATTTACCAATGGAAGTAAGTGTCGTCTTGCATTTACACGTAATGCAATTTTTATAAACCCGAGGCTTGTAGTTTTTTCATGTTTAACTAAATCTACACATTTTCTTGCAGAACAACCAGAGGTGTCTGTTATGGGTTACCTATGTTATTAGGATGCGCGCGCATTCACCATGTGTTCGGGATGAGTGCTTCTTGTTGAGTTATACACGAAATATAATATAGCTATTTAATAGAAAGCAAATACACAACATTTTGGCGACGAGGACGGGATTAAGAAATATTACCACGTTAGAAAAAGCAAGATATTGTAGCAGCTATTGCCATCCTGTGGAAAGATGGCAGATGAAGCACCAGAACCGATTCGAAACATCGGTAAAGTTCGAAAGTTTGTTGTTGGATCTGACTTCGAAGCGTATGCCGAACAACTGGAATTCTTTTTCGTAGCAAATAGCGTGACTGATGCTAAACAAAAGAAAGCTGTCCTGTTGACGAATATGCCTGCAGAAACCTACCAGTTAACAAAGGATTTATTTGCTCCACATCTACTAAAAGAGGGCACGATCACGTACGAAGCGATAGTCGAGCGACTTCAGAAACAGTTAAAGCCACAGAAATCAGCATTAGTAGCCAGATACGAGTTTGATAATCGAGCGAGAAACGCTGGAGAGACGGTGAGTGAATACGTAGCTGTTTTAAAACATTTAGCTACAGAATGTAAGTTCAACGAAACGATGCGTTTAGAGCGACTTAGAGATCGGTTAGTATCTGGTATTCGTGACAGAAAAATGATGTCAGAACTCTTAAAACTTAAGCTCGAAGAACTGACCTTTGACACAGCCGTTGCTAAATGCATCGCTATTGAACAATCATGTAAGGACGTTGAAACTATGCAAGGGGGGAGAGATTCAAACCATACGAATAAGGAATCAGATTCAGTGAATTTGTTAAATAAACCTGAAGAGCAAAACAGGAATACGAAAGCCAAGAAAGGAAGGGACGCCTCTCCTTCCCCTGCAGACCCCAAGTGTTACCGTTGTCATGGTGATCATCAGCATAAATCCTGCCCCTTTAAAAATGCAATTTGCCATTATTGTAAGAAGAGCGGTCATATTCGGAGAGCTTGTAGAAAACGAAGCAAAGAAACACATAGTTTCAAACCCCCAGTAAATCACATTGATGATGATGATGACAGTGACAGCGATGATTACCTGGTGGCTTCGGTGGCGAAGTGGTTAGCGCACTTGCCTTTCACCTCTAAGGCCGCAGGTTCGAATCTCGATGAGGACTTCTCATTGTGACTGGAACCCAGTCCTAGTGTGAAAAGAGTAAGTCAACGCTCTGCCGAAAGTCGTGGGTTTTCTCCGGGCACTCCGTGTTTCCTCCCACAGGGAAAGTTGACAGGGTGGGTTAGGCACATAACTATGTAAATGCACGACCACATCAGCTATGCTGCGAATTTAATCGTGTTGAAATAAATGCTACAAACAAACAAACAAACCTGGCTAGTTTAGAAATAAATAAAGTGGGAAACAAAGATAACGTAATATGGGTAACCCCCAAAGTTGAAGGAACACCCTTAAGAATGGAGCTAGACACAGGCTCTGCAGTTTCAGTTATCCCGTATCAGTTATACAGAGCTAAGTTTAGTCACATAAAGCTACAGAGAAGTCAAATCACACTTAAAACTTACACAGGGGAAAAGCTGTATCCAAAAGGGAAAATCAACTGTAGAGTTACGCCTGTATTCAAAAAGCTCACTCACACTCACACTTGAGTGTGACTCGAATGAGATGCACTCAAGTAGGGTTGAAGTGTGAGTGAGAGTGGAGTATGAGTGTGAGTGTCCACTCAACGAGGGAGCACTCACTTTATAAAATATTAGCTAGATTTGTATTCAAAGAGCTCACTCGAGTGTGACTTGCTGGAGTTTGGGTTTGATGTTGATGTAGAAGGTATATAAACTATAGTGAGACTGTTGTAGACTTCTCAATGCATTGTACGGGGTTGCTGAACAATATGGCTGAAGCTAGACAATATTTTTCGCAATTGGAAAAGTTGCTGTTAACTGAATTAGTGCCAAAATACAAAGATCTTCTAGAAAATAAAATGAATAATTAAAAGCCATACAACGTATATTAATTGCATTATCATATTGAATATGTTATTCATAATTTACGTAAAATGTTGCATTATCAGGGCTTGTCGTACCGCATTGCCCAAACGTCGGTAAAACATCTACAATCAGTGACAAAAGGTTTTTGGACAGTGGTATAATATATACATATCTCCGCATTTCCAAATACTGTTCAGCATAAAGCCACTATCCCTCCCTCCCCCACCCTAAACAATGTTGGGTGGCTGGCAAGGAACATTTTGCGCAGGTATTTCCACACACAACATTGAACGGGGGGTGCGGGGGGTCGATTATGTTGTAAACGTACGCTGTTTAGCTATTTTGTCCAAAGTGTTTTGTCACTGATTGTACTTCTTCCTCATCGCGGCCAGAATATGTTCTGGTTCATATAGATATGAAGTTGAACAACACAGCTGTAACAACAATTATAGTTAGGGACGTTTGCAATTTTGTGCGAAGGGTTGTTGAAAGACATGGAAATAGCATTTTCCATACGCCAAACATCATTTCCACGGTGTTTCGTGTACGTACGCATTTGTGTTACATCAGTTATATCTGTGTTGCGGTAGTTTGCGGTTGGGTTTGCGATCAATTGCTGGTGTCATTAGATGTTGACGGCATGGATAACCGTTATCACCAACTAATATACTCTCTGGATATCACCACGTTCAAACTGTACACTATATGCGACTATTGCCGAATATTCTGGCGTCATGTATGCTACCTGGCCAACGTGCAACAATGTTTAAAATATCTAAATTTGGCCCGCAAACAGCTTGAATTCGCCAGAAATCAAGTTTGAGTTGATCCAAAATATCGCCTTCAGGAAATGTTATGTAATTGTTCCTTAAGCGCGGTGGGATTGCCTCGGATACCCGCTTTATAATTCGATTTGCTGATGGCTGCGAAATCTCACACAAATCTCCGCATGCTACATGGAAAGTACCCGTGGCGTACAACCTTAGCATCAACAAAAGTTGTATATCTGACCTAATGGGCTTTCCTCAGTTTCGTCGCTCGTTGTGTGCAGATATTTCTGGTCTAATTATATCCAGTAACTCTCGAAATCCGGCCTTAGTTACCCGGTATCTGCATCAAAACTGCTCCTCGTCATATTTCCCATAATAAAAAATATATGGTCTCCTCCTGTCTCTGTTGTTTCTTGCGACATATTGTCCAGTAATTCTAACCTTCTTAACCACCTTTCCGCCATATTTGAATCACTAAGTACAAGGTGAGTCTAACTGAGTGCGGCTCAAGGGACGTCTACCTCTCACTCACACTTTACTCAAAATCGGAGCTTCACTTGAGTGTGAGTGGTGTCTTTGAATAGTTGGAGTGTGAGTGTCGCAATATACTATGTGAGTGTGAGTGGACACTCATTGAGTGGTGAGTTGCACTCATTAAGAATGAGTGTCCACTCATTGAGTGTGAGTGTGAGTGAGCTTTTTGAATACAGGCGTTAGTCTCGATGGCCAGACAAGACAGCTAGATATTCAAGTTATTGAGTCCCCGGGGCCAGCGTTATTTGGGCGTGATTGGCTTTCTGTAATCAAACTAGACTGGGGCGAGATCAAAGCCCTTAAAGTAAACCAAGCGACAGACAATGAGACACAGGGTAAGGTAAATAACCTTTTGAAAAAGTATAAAAGTGTGTTCGACGATGATTTGGGCACCTTGAAGGGACACCAAGGTGACCTCAAATTAAAAGAGAACTGTCGACCCCGATACTGTAAGGCACGACAGGTGCCATATGCCTTGCGACCTAAGGTAGAAGCCGAGCTTACACGCCTTGAAAAGGAAGGGATTCTAAACAAGGTGGAACATAGTGAGTGGGCAACCCCTATTGTACCTGTGGTCAAACGAAATGGCTCAGTACGAATATGTGGGGATTTCAAAGTCTCTGTTAACCCAGTTTTAATCGCAGAACAATACCCATTGCCCCGTATCGAGGATATTTTTGCCAATCTGGCTGGGGGTAAGCATTTTACCAAATTAGACTTACGCCAAGCCTATCACCAAATGGAGGTCACTGAAGAGACACGAAAGTATTTGACGGGTCTATTTCAGTATCAGCGGTTAGTTTTCGGTGTGACGTCAAGCCCAGCAATTTGGCAAACGTGCCATGGACCAGCTGTTACAGGGTATACCTGGAACACAATGCATCCTTGACGACATGATAATTACCGGAAAGTCCAATGAAGAGCACTTAGAACGGTTAGAGGAAGTTCTAAAGCGATTACAAGAGGCAGGTCTGAGAGCAAACAAAGAGAAGTGTGAATTCTTCAAGGAGAAAGTTGTGTTTTGTGGCCATGAAATTGATGCCAATGGTTTACACAAAACCCAAGAGATGATCGAGGCAGTAGTGAACGCCCCTAGGCCCGAGAATGTGTCACAAGTTCGATCCTTCCTAGGACTGGTAAATTACTATAATCGGTTTCTCCCCAACGCAGCTTCAGTTCTTCACCCACTACATGTATTGCTTCAAAAAAGTCACAAGTGGAAGTGGACTGAACAATGTGAGAAAGCTTTTAAAAATGCCAAGCACTTGATAACCTCTGACCTAGTCCTAACCCACTACGACACAACGCTTCCAGTTAAGATCGCATGTGATGCTTCACCAACCGGAATTGGTGCAGTGTTGTCGCATGTTATGGCAGATGGAAGTGAAAGACCAGTGGCTTTTGCATCCAGATCGCTCACCAAGACGGAGCGCAAGTACTCCCAGATTGACAAGGAAGCACTGTCAATTGTGTGGGGGGTCAAGAAGTTTCACATATATTTGTATGGGCGACGGATTACACTAGTCACTGACCATAAACCTCTGACATCCATTTTCCATCCAGAAAAAGGAATACCCATAATGACGGCCACAAGACTCCAACGCTATGCATTGTTCCTAGCTGGATTCGAATATGACATTGAGTACAAGAATACGAAAGAACACTGTAATGCAGATGGTCTATCACGACTACCACTGCCTACCACTGCCAATGACGGAGAAAGAGGATACAGCTGTGGATGCAGCTGAAGTGTTTCATGCAACCCAGTTAAACATTCTCCCAGTCACCAGTGAATCGGTAGCTAAAGAGACAAATCGTGATCCCATATTAGCCAGAGTTTATGATTCAATAGTTAAAGGTTGGTCAGCACGTTTCGAGGGAGACAAGCCCTACCATGACCGACATAGTGAACTTACAGTTCATCAAGGTTGTATCCTTTGGGGAATGAGAGTGGTCATCCCTAGCAAGTTGCAAGAAAGAATTCTGCGAGAGCTACATGATAGTCATTTGGGTAT